GGTATGCTCATATTGCTGTTCCAACAGGAGGCTTGAACTAGTTTGCCAGTCCCACCAGCAGTGTAAGTGTTCCTCTCTCGCCCGCAACCACGCAGCATTTATTGTTGGAGACTGTTTTGATAAAGCATTCTCCATGTTAATGATATCTCCAGTGTGGTTTTGATTTGCCATGTTTCCTGATGATTAAGAGATGTTGAGCATTTCATATGTTGTGCCATTCTCGTTGCACCAGCGATGCTGAGGTTGGCTGTGAGCGAGCTGCATGCCATGGCACTACTCTAGCCCGCACCAGAGACTCTCTCAAAACACATAAAGCACACACCCGCGGTGTCAGCACGCGCCGGGCAAAGACAGCACAGGAACTCCGTTCACAGAACCGAGCACGCAACGTTCACGCAGCGGCATCCCGCACAGCGCGCCGCCACCTGAACCGGGGACCAGGGACGTGCTGGACGCTGGGGCTGCCTGTTGAGTGGAGGACGTTTGCCGGGCGCGCCGGCGGAGCCGGGCCTTGAGCTGGTCGCACCCGGCGCATCAAGTCTTCCGGCTCCGAGGCGTGCGAGTCGTGGCAGCCGCCTCCAAGCCATCGTGGGGACAGTGCTGGAAGGCCGGCCACACCACGGCCCCTGCTGGTGGTCAAGCCATGGCCACGGCGCAGCGGTGGGTTTGCACACTCTGGACGCCGAGTCTTTGCCAGACGCTCTGCTTTTCGTTTCGCCCAAAATGGGGCAAATCTCCGTGCCACTCATTTTCCTTCTTTTTTTTTTTTTTTTGCACTTATTCCTTGCACTCGCTTGAAGACGAGTATTTTTTTTTTTTCTTGTGAGAAGAGGTCCAGTCTGTTGGCCGCCGGCTTAGAGTGAGTGCCACGTGGCGTCAGCCTCGCTCCAGACAACCTCCCAACCCTGGGCCTTCCCGCCTCGGCCTCCCAGAGTGCCGGGATGACAGGCGTGAGCCACTGCGTGCCCAGCCTCACACGGTGTTTAGTGTGTGATCTTTCTCCGGTGTTTCTCGTACTGGTTCTAGAACAGAGGGTTCTCTAACTCCGGGTTTCGGGGTGTTGGGAAGAGGCGGTTGCAGCCCCTTCTTCCAATGTCCCCTCGAGCCCCCCTTGTCCTTGGCTGCTGGTGCCACCTACAGGACACGGTGACACCTCAGAGAGCCACCTGGGGGAAGGACGCCAGGGGCTCGGACACCCTCAGGCCCTTGACACCTCTGCGCCCTCCCGCCCAGGTCCGACGCCTCCCTGTACTGCGACGACGTGGACATCCGCTTCAGCAAGACCATGAACTCCTGCAAGGTGCTGCAGATCCGCTACGCCAGCGTGGAGCGGCTGCTCGAGCGGCTGACCGACCTGCGCTTCCTGAGCATCGACTTCCTCAACACCTTCCTGCACTCCTACCGCGTCTTCACCACCGCCGTGGTGGTGCTGGACAAGCTCATCACCATCTACAAGAAGCCCATCAGCGCCATCCCCGCCAGGTGCCTGCGCCCCGCCCCGCCCCACCCCCAAACACAACACACACCTGCCGGGCTTGGAGGAGGCGAGCTCTGCAGCGGGGGGAGCCGGGGGCCCGGAGGAGCTGGGTGGCTGGGGGTGGCGCACTGCCTGCCCCCCAGGAGCAAGCCTGCCAGCGAGGAGCACAGGGCGTGGGGACGCAGGCGTGGGCGCACAGGGCGGGTCCCGTGTTGGTGCTGGGGTGCGCACTGCCTGCCCCCAGGAGCAAGCCTGCCCGCGAGAGCACAGGCTGTGGGGGACGCAGGGCGTGGGGCACAGGGCGGTCCTGGTTTGGTGCTGGGGTGCGCACTGCTGCCCCCAGGCAAGCCTGCACGCGAGGAGCACAGGGTGTGGGGGACGCAGGGCGTGGGGCGCAGGCGCAGCGCGGCGTGGTTTGGTGCTGGGGGGGCCACTGCCTGCCCCCCAGGAGCAAGCCTTCCCGCGAGGAGCACAGGGCGTGGGGGGCGTGGGGCGCAGCGCGGGCCGTGGTTTGGTGCTGGGGTGCGCACTGCCTGCCCCCCAGGAGCAAGCCTGCCCGCGAGGAGCACAGGGCGTGGGGGACGCAGGGCGTGGGGCGCAGCCAGCGCGGGCCGTGGTTTGTGCTGGGGTGCAACAATGCCTGCCCCCAGGACAAGCCTGTCGCCTCGCGAGGAGCAGCAGGGCGTGCTGGGTGGACCGCAGGGCGGTGGGGGGGCGCAGGCGCAGGGCGGCGCGTGGGTTTGTGCTGGGGGTGCGCACTGCCTGCCCCCAGGAGCAAGCCTGCCGCGAGGGAGCACAATGGCATGGGGGCGCGAGGCGCAGCAACGGGCGTGGTTTGCGCTGTGAGGACGCATCTTCTATCTCCTGCCGGGCTCGAGGCGGGTGGGCCCTGCCGGGAGCGGGCGGGACCCGGGCTGCTGGGACACCCACTTTCAGCTCCTGCCCCCCAAGTCTGGCATGCAAGCCGTGGGGGATGGAGGGACGCGGGTTAGCGTAGGAGACGTCAAATGCCGCCACTCCTGTGCCGGGCTCAGCTTCCCCATCCGCGGAGGGCGCGGAGGACGTGGTCAGCGTGCGCAGGTGGGAGGGTCTGCGTGAGGTGGGAGGGGTCTCTCAAGCTGCAGGTTGGGGGGGCTCTAGCACTTCGGGTCAGATGCTGCGGCCAAACCCCAAAGTCCCTGCGCAAACCCCTGTGGGCAGAACACGCGCCGTTCCTACCCTCGGCCCTGCGCCACCGTCCACTCTGCGCGGAGGCTCAGCTCCAGGGAACGGGGCCCCGCAGCCCCTGCACCCCGCCGACACGGGCCACCGGCCTCCCCACGACCGTCCCGTCCCGCTCCCCCCCTCCCCCCCGCGCAGGTCGCTGGAGCTGCTGTTCGCCAGCGGCCAGAACAACAAGCTCCTGTACGGGGAGCCCCCCAAGTCCCCGCGCGCCACGCGCAAGTTCTCCTCGCCGCCGCCGCTGTCCCTCGCCAAGACGTCGTCGCCCAGCCGCCGGCGCAAGCTCTCGCTGAACATCCCCATCATCACGGGCGGGAAGGCGCTGGACCTGGCCGCGCTCAGCTGCAGCTCCAACGGCTACGCCGGCGTCTACTCGGCCATGTCGCCCTTCGGCAAGGCCGCGCTGGACACCAGTAAACTCTACGTGTCCGGCGGCTTCGCCAGCAAGATTCCCGACGAGGGCGACGCCGCGCCTGAGAAGCCCGAGGACCCCGCGGCGCCCGGCAAGCCGAGTGAGTGGACGTGCGGGGCGCAGCCGCTCCGGCCTCAACCTCCCCACCCCCAGCGGGGGCCTCGGGCTGCTCCTCGTGCCCCCCGCCCCCCAGGCTGGGGACAGAGGTCTTGTGTTTCTAGCAAGGACGCCAGGTACTTCCGTTAAGGTCTGAGAAGCCCCCCGCAGGGCAAAAGCCACCCTGGGCATTAATTAGCCGTGAAAGGTTCTGATAAGTCCTGCAGCAAAGAGAGCCTTTACGCTTCCTTCCGTCTGCACAGCCCAGATTTGTTCTGTTCGGGCGTCGGAAAATTATAGGCGTAGAATTTTAAAATCGGTGAGTAAAATAAAGAGAAAAATAAAATTAATTCCCTTTCTTCCACCCAGGCTCAGAAGTCTCCGTGAGGGAAGAATCGGACACCGATCAAAACCAGAGTGACGACGGTGATGCTGAAACGTCACCCACCAAGTCCCCCACGACACCAAAGTCCGTCAGAAGCAAAAACTCTTCAGGTGGGTCCCCGACGCCGGGGAGGGCTGGGGCGCATCGAGTAGAAGCAGGAGGGGTGTCCCCGGCACGCCGCGGGGGTGACCCCAGAGAGCAGCGGCCACTCTGAGGTCTCGGGACCCCGAGCGCATGTGGGTGCCGGGGCCGCGCTGGGTGGGTCCCGCCGTCGCCCACGCACTGAGCCCCGCTCGGGCGCGCAGTGGGGCGGGCACTTGGGGCGCGTCCCCGGGCACCCCGCTGTGCCGGTGGCGTTTTGCTGGGGCCCCGCGTGGCTCCGTGCCAGGCCCTCGCGCCACCCGCAACGCGGCACAAGGGCCGGTCCCCAGGGAGGGAAGTGACCCTGCGCGGCGTGACGCTACCCCGACAGCTCGGACCCTGGTCCGGGAGGGTCCTGGTGAAGCTGTGCTGGGGTTCGGGTCCCATCGCGCCCCTGCGCTCCTGGCGCCGCCGTCCCGCTCCGCGCTCGAGGGGCCGCTGCGCCCCGGGTCCCACGGCCCCGGCCCTCAGAAGAAACCGGGTGGGTGGCGGGTCCCCGGCCTCAGAGAGAAACTGCCCCGAGCGCTGCGGCCGCCTCGCAGCGTCTCAGACGCGCAGAACCGCCCTGCGCAGAGCCGGGTTTCAGAATTGAGCTTTGCGTCTTTCGGGTGAATTATTTGTGCCTCGCGCGCCGGTGCGGCTGTGTCCTGAGTGCGGGCTGCTCTCCAGAGACTCCGCAGGAGGAAACTGAAGGCTCCAGGAGTCGTTTATGCCGTGAATTACCACTACCAAAAAAGAAAATCTATCAGGCCGGCCGGTGGCTCAACACCTGTGATCCCAGCACTCTGGAGGCCGAGGCGGGAGGATGCTCAAGGTCTGGAATTCAAAACCAGCCTGAGCAAGAGACGAAACCCTTCCCAGTACTATAAAATACAAATTAATTGGCCAACTAAAAAATATAGAAAAAATTAGCCGGCATGGTGGCGCATGCCTGTAGTCCCAGCTACTCGGGAGGCTGAGGCAGAGGATCGCTTGAGCCCAGGAGTTTGAGGTTGCTGTGAGCGAGGCTGACGCAACGGCACTGTAGCCCGCGGGCAACAGGGTGAGACTCCTGTCTCAAAAAAAAAATCTGTCATTAATAGCGATGATATTCCATAGCATTTATACAGCTTTTCATCAAACACAAAGTCCTTGCCTCTACTTATCTCCTGTAATCTGTGTATCCACCTCCTGAGTAGGCATTGCCCCTGTTAACCCAGAGGGGTCATGAGATCTCAGAGAGTGTTAAGCAACTTACCAAGGTCACACCAGCGAGGAAGGTCCGGGGAATTTCAGCCAGGGTGGACGGACTCCAGTGCAGTGCTCTCTCTGCGACCCGCCGTGCCTGTCTTGACCTGTCGGTGTGCACTGCGGGCGGGTGTCAGGCTCGGCCGGTCACCTGTTCGCTGCACTGGGCTCGCTCGCAACCCGGGCCGGGCCGGGCCGGGCTGAGCGCCTTCGTGCGTCGCGCCCACAGAGCTCCCGCTTTCTCCTACAACAACGCGTGGTCATGACCTCGCCGCGAGCTGGAGCAGCAACCGCAGTGCCTTGTCGGCCCGCTCTCGCCTTCGCCATCGCCACCGCGCGGAGCCAACGATGGGCGGTCCCCAACAAGGAGAAGTACCGGCGCATGGTCGCTGGCCAAGCGCAAGGTCGTGGCGCGGCCGTCGAGGCAGCCCCCGCTGTGGCAGGTGACGGCAAGGTGACCCGAGGACCTTCCGCCGGGTGTCCAGGGCGCCGCCACCGCGGCAGGGCGGCGTCCTGTAACCGTCCCACCCCCCTCCTCCCACTCACCACCCCTCCCCAGTCCCCCTCACCGCCACCCCCCCATCCCCACCATGCCCCTCCCTGCCCCCCCCTGTGGCACATGATTTCATGGTGACCCTGAGGACCTGCCGGCCGGTGTCTAGGGCGGCGCCCCGCCAATGCCACAGGCAGCCTTCCTGGTAGCCACCGCCCATCCCCCCATCCCTGGCCCCCACCCCACAACCCTCCTCGGCACACCCACAACCCCCTCCCTGCCCCACCTCCCGGCCCCACCCCCCCTCCGGCCACCCACACCCCCTCCACCAACCCCTCCCTGCCCACCACACCGCCTCCTCAACCCACCCCCTCCTGGCCACACCACACCCTCTCACACCCACCCACCCACCTCCCGGCCCACCCACACCCCTTCCCCCACCCCACCCCTCCCTGCCCACCCACAAGGCTCCTCGACCCCCCTCCGTGGCCACACCCACCACCGCCTCCCCACCTCACCCACCCCCCTCCCGGCCACACACACCCTCCTCCCCACCCCCTCCCCGCCCCACCTACCCACGCTGTCACTGTCGCCTTGGCACCCCTCCCACTGCAGAGGGGCCGGGTCCCCCATGTCCCTGTGCTGGTGGGGGCGCCAGTCACACGCAGGCCTGAACCCCAAACTGCGGCCAGGGCCACCGCGTGGGACAAAGTCCCCCCACTCCACCGCTCGCTCTGAGAGCGGCCACGTCTCCGGCCACGCCCTGCCCTCGGTCTGCCACCCACCGCACCCCAAACTCTCTTCCTCCAGCAGCCTTGGGGACCCCCTGCCGGGCTGGAGTGGGCCCCCCCCCAGAGCTCTGGTCGGTCCCTGGGGAGGCCGCGTGGCCCTGCGCCCCGTTGGGGAGGCCCTGACGGCTGGAACACGCGGGGGAGGCAGGCGTGGACCGCGCCCACAGGGAGCGCGTGGTGTCTGCGCTACGGCTCCGAAGCTGGGGTTCCGCCCTGCCGTGGGCGCCAGGACCAGCCCAGCTCGGCCGGATCCCAGACCGGGGTCACGCACGGTTTCTTCCGCTCACGTGTCCTCTGTCCCCTCTGCCCTGCACCGCCAGGGTTCCCGCCCGACCAGAGGAACGGAGACAAGGAGTTTGTGATCCGCAGGGCGGCCACCAACCGCGTCCTGAACGTGCTGCGCCACTGGGTCTCCAAGCACTCGCAGGTGGGCGGGTCCTCCCGGGCAGAGGGAGCCAGGGCCGACAGGGGCCCACCTGTGCCGCCCCATACCATGTCTCCTCGAAAATAAGACGGGGCCTTCTATTTATTGTCCCTCAAGAAGACACCCCGGGGCTTATTTTCAGGGGATGTGTCATTTTCCCCTCAAAGCCTCAGCTTGCAGCACGCACAGGATGGCTAGGACCTGACAGGTGGAGCCGACCTTGTTGGTGGGGCTGCCCGCACCTTTCCGGTCACCTCTGGGACAGCAGCTGTCACGACGGGGCGGATGGGAAGGGCTGCTCGTCTTCTTTCCCGCTCCGACGACACGCACGGGTTGTGCAGATGCTGTGTAGCCACGCCCGTCACTAGGGCTGATTTTCGGGGTGGGGCTTCTATGGGGCACATGCTTAGAAATCCCGCTAGGGCTTATTTTATGGGTAGGTCTTATTTTCGGGAAAATACGGCATTTCCGGAAGGACCTGCCCGGGTGCCCCAGAGGGAATAGGGTCGTTCCGGGGCCGCTGTCTGCCCACCTGTCTGCGGCAGGCACAGGTGGGCTCGTGCAGCCCCAGCCAGGGTGCGGGGGCTGAGTGCCAGCCCTGGCCTTGCCCGGCGCCTTCGCCTAAGATCCTCTGGGCCCTGGGAGTCGGCTGTTCCTGCCACGCAGCCAGCGGAGGGAAACTGAGGCAGGGAAGCCAGAAACAGAGACTGCAGCTCCCTCCTCTGGCCTGGCCCCGGCCACTGCCCGGCAGTTGGAGAACAGGGACCGGCATCACCCGGGACATCTTCCGGCAGGACTTTGAGACCAATGATGAGCTCAAGTGCAAGGTTCTGTCCGGGCCGGAACCCTGGCCCCGCAGGCAGAGGACAGAGGACACCGTGAACGGAGAAAACCGTGCGGACCCGCAAGTCTGATCCGGCCCCGAGGCTGGCCTTGGTCCTGGCGCCCCACGGCAGAGCCGGAAACCCCAGCCGTCGGAGCCCGTAGCCGCAGACACCCACCGCGCCGCCTGTGGGCGCGGTCGCACGCCTGCCTCCCCCCGCGTGTTCCAGCCGTCCAGCGCCTCCCCAACGGGCGCAGGAGCGCCGCTCCGGAGGGACCCTCGACCAAAGAAGCTCTGGGGGGGCCCACTCCAGCCGCCAGGGGTCCCCCCAAAGGATGGCTGGAGAAGAGTTTGGGTGCGGTGGGTGGGCAGACCCCGAGGGCAGGGCGTGCCGCAGACGTGGCCGCCTCAAGAGCCGAGCACCGTGGAGTGGGGGGACTTGTCCCACCCCGCGGTGCCCTGGCCCCGCAGTTTTGGGTTTCAGGCCTGCGTGTGACTGCGCCCCCCCAGCACGAGGGACATGGGGGAATCCGGCCCTGCAGTTGGGAGGGGTGCCAAGGCGACCAGTGACAGCGTGGTAAGGTGGGCCCCGGGGAGGGGTGTGGTTTGCTGGAGGGGGGTGGGTGGGGCGGGGAGGGTGGTGGGGCCAGGAGGGTGGGGTGGG